GATTCCTAACAAAATACATTTATTTCTCAGAAGCATGTTGGGTCAGGTATGGGAGGCATACTCGGTTGAAACAAAAATCCAACAAGTTGTGTACACAAGTAGCCAAAACAAGGTTGAGAATAACCACGGGTCTCGAGTAACGACGGTGAGGCAGCCAAAAACGGAATAAATATGAAATCACGTCCACCGAGGAGGTGGAGCGATGGAATCAGTTTGTGTCCAGCTGGTAGGTAGATTACGACATGGCACCGGCTTGGGGAAGGTCTTAAGCTAAACTATGAAACTATTTTGTTGCCAGAAAAAACGGGGAAAAACCCTATTATTATTATATGAAACTATAAATACTCTTTGGTTCTTCGGTAAAGTCACGGTAGGTAGAAAAATTAATAGATCACGACGTTTCGATCGCAACACGAGCAATCGTCATCAGGTGGGACAACCACGGCAAGAAAACAACTGCTGAAGTAGGCGAGAGATCTGCCGTGGCACGAGGTTATATCGTAGGCCACGGCAGTAGGGGGGGAGAGAGAAGTGGGGGGGGGGGGGGAATGAGGCAGGGCACAAAGTGGACCCCGCAGCAGCTGTGGTTGTCCCACCTGATGACGATTGCTTGCGTAGCGATTATTTTTAGCAGGTAAGGCCCCATTGAGCTTTACATCTCTTTTTCAGAAGCGACCCGTCAATAACAAATAATAGCTCAACGCAGTGGCTTATTATTAGTATCATCGCACGTCGATTCTAAAAATGTGGAGGGGGGATACCCCGGAGATACCCCGAGAAAAATCCACGCGACTACGGGGAGAGCAGGGAGAGACAATGAGACGCAAACTCCAAATCTACAACAGGCGTCACGGGCGGGATCAAACCCACGTCCTCCTGTATACCAGGCGAGGTAGTTAACGTGTGTCGCCTCCGTGGCGCCCCAGATCCGGCAGTGGATAGACCAAGGCTGATGACGATGGCTCACCCTGTACCTGTGCTCAATTTCACCTCTGCCCTTCTGCTTGCCGAGTCTCCAGCGACCCACCATGACCTCTGATTTTTTTTTCCCTGAAAAGGGCAACCCAATGGCACAGAAACCTCGACCCATTCTGAGTGTCATTGACAGTTGTCAATGTTGATGAAATATTCAGTTGAGGTGGCTCGATTAGAAATTCCACGCAGGGTTCTCTCTGTACTCCGCATATGATGACGGCAGTCGTCACGGATGTTGTCAGCATCATCAATCATCATCAGCCATGGTAAATCCACTGCTGGATGCAATATTCCACCCGGCACATGCACACAAAGTTATTTCATCGCTCCATCACATAAGCAGTCGTGTGTCTCTCTCCGTGTGTCTCCGTGTCTCTGTTGTCTCTCTCTGCTTGTGTGTCTGTCTGTGTGTCTCCGTGTCTGTGTTTTGTCTCTCTCTCTCAAATTTAGTTATACCTGATGACGACTGCTTGTGTTGCAATCGAAACGTCGTATTCTATTATTTAATTTATTTTCTTTCTACGTGGCTTTACCGAAGGAACCGAAGAGTACTGAAAATAAATCAATAAAGGTGTCCGGCCATGATTTTACATCTCTAACTCTCGCCGTCATATTGTCTGTCATCCCTAAAAAAATATAAATTCCTGCAGTCACGAAAGCTTTAAATAATAAAATCCCTAAAGAAGTTTATGGATCCGATGTGGGACCCCCCCCTCTCCCCACCGCCACCAGGCCTCCCGCAGTTTCGCCAGCACCGCGGTCACCTGGTGCAGGAATGATTCACGTGGTGTACATCACTGTGCTTCCAATCAACTTCTCTGATCTGAATGAAGTGCCACCGCTCGGTTTCACACGGAGGCTTTCGCGACCAATTTTCTCCACGACTCCGGCTGTGCGCCTGATGATGCTAGTTGTAATTACTGGTGAAACGTACTCGAATTGTAAATGTTGTGGGTTTACTCTGGAACTTACCGGTGTGCTGTACTAGTAACGAATTGGCATTGTTTTGTTAACGTGAAAACCCGTACTAATTGGCTATGTCACGTGGTGGCGGGTTTAACTTCACATTCATATTTACACGATCTAACCCAAGCACCTCTATTATGGAAAGTGCCACTTTTTATTTAAAAAATTGATTGAATATGGATACGGTAATTAAAATGTTGGAATAATAATTTAATTTTATATAGCGTCATTCATGCAATTGCATCCCACAACGCTGCACATCAATTATCCAATTCCCTACACAAATATGAAAACAAAACCCACTACTTAGCTAACAAAAATAAACTAACACGTAAATAACGAGGATAAAATGGACATCACAAGCAAAAAAATAATCGCAGAGAAAATACATGTAAATAATACTTACAAGTAATGTATTTTAATAGGAAATAGCATAACACACACAAAAAACAAGTTGTTTAGACTGAAACCCACACCAAATACATTGAGAGGACTTGGTGAATGAGTGTAAGATCGTATCAGCTGCACGTGATGGGTTCTGCCCAGGCAGACTCGTATATCATCTTGGCAACACTCTAAAATAAGCTACACGTGACAGAATCTCATCAGGACACCACTTTTAAAAAACAATGCGTTCCATCACAGCACAAGACGCTAGCGGTAGAGGTCACTATTGAGAACCGCATTCCCCGTGTTGGGGAGAAAAACGGTAAGCTAACTGAACCTCATCAAACAAAGACAGTAGTTATTTTTCTTAACTCGTTATGCAAACTGGAATGGGAACTTTGCAGCAATTCATCGATTCATATTGGTTAACCGTACACAGTGCTTGCCACATGTGAAACAAAACAACTTGCTGATCTCGTCAAAACAGCATAAGCAATCATCACACAACTCCGGTCATCCTCGCAGCGGCTTTGAGTTAACCATCGAACGAAGACGGTCACCGCTCGCTCGCTTTCAGGCGCGCTTCTGCGGCCGTCTGGAACGCTGTTCCTTCCGATATGAGGAAGTCACCGGAGCTATGCACTTGAACTTCTTTCGCACCGTACGTAGCCAACCGTGGAGGTGCGGGGGAAGGACAACAAACTAAACACAAAAAAGCATTTCTGAAGAAATGCGATCTCAATGTAATATTGTCGTGTCGTGTGTAGTAGTATAGTGTATAGTGGAGTGTACAGCAGTTTGTATGTATGTTGAACTTATTTTGGACCGTACGTAGCCTACTGTGCTAATCGGAGGTGCGGGGGAAGGACAACAAACTAAACACAAAAAGCAGTTCTAAAGAAATTCGTTTTCAGGACATTGCAGGGAGAGAACGTGATACCTACCAAAGCAAAATACAATGAAATATAACATATCTACACAAAACCGATGCAGGAACTTACTGCTAACAAGCTCACAAAACGCAATAAAGTCGCAGAAGAAAGAAGCAATGTGTTTTTTTTAATATATAATGGAATATTTTTAAGTAATTTGTTCACAGGAACCCTTCAGCCAATTGTCGACTCGCCCCTACTGGACTTTTGTAAAAAAGAGCTTCATAGCTCATCGGATTCCTCCAGCCTATATAAAGATCCTGATTCTGGCTGCTACATTCACTGCAGTGTTAAAACAGAATGCATTATTACATCGATTATTTTTTTCGCAACGCTCAAGGCATGAAAGAGCTGGCTGCAGGGTGGAGGTAACTACAGTCACTATCATTACGCTCATACATACATAATAGGGTTGTAATGATGCATCGGTCACGATATATTCAATGTGAACTCATAGATTCTTAAATCGATTTTTTTTCAAAAGATCAATACCGGTGGGTAGACAGCTCGAGGGGGGGGGGTCATTACCCCCCCCCCCTCCGAAAGCGCGGGGCCCAGGCCACTCGCCCCGATTCGCCGTGTACCCCTAGGTATGGCTCTGGATGCATCAACCTACAAAGTCGCCCAAATGTAAACAACAAAAAACCTCTTTTGTAGGTAATTTTTTGACAAGTAACCAAATAGTCATATGCGGAGCACAAACTTTTAATTTATATTCACGGTATTCTACAGAAAATTAGATGCTCCAGAAAGTAAAAATGCAAAACTCGTGCCAGGTGTCGATAAAGTTGACACCTGGTATACACAAAGACAAAGATCACCCCTATAATCTTAATAGACTGTTGGGGCAAGTGCTGCAAGCGAGCACCTATGGAGGCCAGCACGGCACACGAGGGGGTTGGTGGCCAGCACCACATCTGGCCGCCTCTGTCTCCCTAGTGGCGACGTTTACACAACATACCAGGTACTCATTTGACGCTGAGTCAACTTAGGGGAGGCCCAGGACCGGTTCAGATAATTGTCACCGATGTTGACCGTGAGTGGGAATCGAACTCGGGTAGCCGGGGTTTGTAGCGCAGTGCTCTAACCACCACACTACCGCCCCTCACTCTACTCCACTCACCCATTCAACCACCCACACCGCGAAACCACCCACTCATTCACCCACCTATCCACTCACCCTATCAGGCACCCACCCACTCACCCATTCAACCACCCACACCGCGAAACCGCCCACTCACTCATTCACCCACCTACCCACTCACCCTATCACGCACCCACCCACTCACCCATTCACCCACCCACTCCGCAAAACCACCCACTCACTCATTCACCCACCTACTCACTCACCCTATAATGTACCCACCCACTCACCCATTCACCAACCCACTCTGCGCAACCACCCACCCACTCATTCTCCCACCTACCCACTCACCCTATCACGCACCCACCCACTCACCCATTCACCCACCCACTCACCCATTCAACCACCCACTCATCTACCCACCTATACACTCACCCTATAACGCACCCACCCATTCACCCTTTCACCCATTCACCCATTCACCCACCCACTCCGCGCAACCACCCACCCACTCACCTACCCACCTATCCACTTACCCTATCACGCACCCACCCACTCACCCATTCACCCACCCACTCCACGCAACCACCCACCCACTCATCTACCCACCTACCCACTCACCTTATCACGCACCCACCCACTCACCCATTCACCCTTTCACCCACGCACCCACTGACCCACCCGCTCCGCACACGCTACCCACTGCATCCTTGCTCCTCGTCCCGTCATTGAACGGGGGGGCACCCCTGCCGCTGCAGCGGGGCGGAGAGGTCGACCGAGGCCGTGGCCAGCGTTGGCTGCGGCTCGAGCTCGCTGCTCGCCATTGTGCCGCGACTGGAGGTCGTCGCTCCGGTGGTCGTTCCGGAACGGCGGCGGCGGCGCGTCGAGGACGAGGACGACCACCAGCAGCAGCAGTAGCAGCAGCAGCAGTAGCGGTAGCAGAGCGTGCCGTCCCACTGGCCGCTGAACAGACCGTACACCAGCGGGTCCAGGCAGGCGTTGAGGAGGCCGAAGAGGAAGACGATGTGGTTGATGTACTCGGGCAAGGTGCCCTGGTCGAGCGCCGAGGGCCAGAACCAGTACCAGATGCCCACCAGGTAGTACGGAGTCCAGCAGACGAGGAACGAGCCCACGATCGCGGCCGTCATCTTGACGGTGCGGAGGCGCGCTCGGGGGATGTTGTTGGAGGAGCAGCGCAAGGTGACCCCCTTGGCGTCTGTTCGGGGGGAAGGGAGGGGGGTGGCGAGGGGATGTAGCAATGAGATCCCCCAGCACGGAGTTATGACCGACAAAGCGCATTTGTGGTGTGTTTGTTTGTGACGCTTCCCAACAAAGGTCGAACGCGTCAATGCGTCAGCTCTGTCCGTCTTGTCACGGGGCGCCGCGGTGGCGAGATGTTAACTACCTCGCCTGGTATACAGGAGGTCGTGGGTTCGATCCTGATCCTGACGCCTGCTGTATATTTGGAGTTTGCGTGTCTCTCTCTCTCATCATCATCACGGTGGCTAGGAGATGTTAACTACCTCGCCTGGTATACAGGAGGTCGTGGGTTCGATCCTGATCCTGACGCCTGCTGTATATTTGGAGTTTGCGTGTCTCTCTCTCTCATCATCATCACGGTGGCTAGGAGATGTTAACTACCTCGCCTGGCACACAGGAGGTCGTGGGTTCGATCCTGATCCTGACGCCTGCTGTATATTTGGAGTTTGTGTGTCTCTCTCTCATCATCATCACGGTGGCTAGGAGATGTTAACTACCCCGCCTGGTATACAGGAGGTCGTAGGTTCGATCCTGATCCTGACGCCTGCTGTATATTTGGAGTTTGCGTCTCTCTCTCTCTCTCATCACGGTGGCTAGGAGATGTTAACGACCTCGCCTAGCATACAGGAGGTCGTGGGTTCGATCGAGATCCTGACGCCTGCTGCTGTATATTTGGAGTTTGCGTGTTCTCTCTCTCTCTCTCCCCGTGTTTGCGTGGATTCTTCTCCGGGTCCTCGACGTTTTCCCTCCACGTTTAGAGACGTGCGTTTGCAGTATTTGGCCGCCACTATAAGTGTCCACACAATGACGAGCCACTTCGTTGAGCTATAATTTTTTTCCCCAGGTCGTTTCTGAAAAAGCTCAGTGGGCCATAACCTGGCAAAATAAAATACAAATTGTCGCAGTAGTCGTCTGTCCGTCTGTCTGTCTGTAGCGGGGTTGTATCGTCAAGGTGATCCCTACATTAAACTCAACGGATAAGCAGAGGACATCCGCTCATCGTTATTCAGTATCTCTCAACGCAACCCACCGGCCCACCGCGGCCTCCTGGGAGTGCGGTTGTTTTGCAGTGATCAGGAAGCGAGCAAACTCGGGAGCGGTTTCGACGAAGAGCGTCTCATCAGAAAGGTCGGGCTCGCGACTGAAGAGATACGAGTGACCGGACAGATGTTAAGAGGGCAAGGCGCCTTAGTTAATACAAATGTTAACCAAATGTTGCTCCAATGTTGCATTGTCAGGAGGGATTTGCCCTCTAGAAAACCGGCCGTAATTTGTCAAAGGGTTGCCCGAAAACTTGGTGATCAAAATAATTGGTCAAATGATTAATTGTCCTTGCTCATCGATTATTGGACTCGCATGATCCACGATTGGACTGTACGCCTATGCTCCCCACATCTATGCCTCATCGTATTCACCCCAACCCGCATTGACCAGCGTGGCGAGGTATGGTTAAATGACCCCCACGACCTGCGCGGCGTATTCAGGAGGGCCTTCCGCCAGCAGCTGATAGACAAAGCTCTCGACACTACACTGTATACAGGGTGGTACAGATGTCTTGCGGACCCCATTTAATTCTCTAAAACGTAATATTTTTTAAAGCGAGCTTTGTTTAAAACAGAAATGAATATGCGAAGGAAAAGAAAATTAGGGGTCAATTAATTGGGGGGGGGGGGGGGGAGGAGGTGGGGGTCACACAAGACATCTGGACCACCCCCGTACAATGTGCGCATTGCGACGCCCGTCAAATGACGTTTGAAGCGTTTTCACGCACAACACACTATCGCAATCTAAGAGTCTTTGCATAACCGAACTCCCTAACCACCACGCACAACCAGGTGTTATAGGCTGCGGGGATACGTGGAGCCTCATAGGCAGTGGGGCAAGGGGGGTGGGGGTAAAGAGGCCACCCACCTACCCCAGCTGGGCTGACATGGGTTGTGGATCGATGGACCCTGAGCCTCGCCGTGTCAACTCCGGACAGGAGGCAAGTTCGCTTAACTCTCGTGAGAGGCGCTCGCGTCAGCAACATACACACCGCCCGAGTCATTAAACGGAGAACATTGGTAGACGCGGGAACGAAAACGAGGCCTGAACACCCCCTCCCATCCCCGTCACAGGGGTTACATGAACCTGAGTTTGAGACACCTGCTGACAAGTGTCACACTTAAGCACAATTCCGTCCATTTCCTCCACGCGCAGTAACGATGTCTTTAGAACTGGTGTGTGTGTGTTTCTGTGCAGTTTGGTATCCTTCTCTCATCACCCCCCCCCGTCCGCACCTTCGATTAGCGCGGTTGGCCACGTACGGTGAGAAAGGAAGTTTAACATACATACATACAACTTACATACATACAACATACGATACATACAACATACATACAACTTACATACATACAACATACGATACATACAACATACATACAACTTACATACATACAACATACGATACATACAACATACATACAACTTACATACATACAACATACATACGATACATAATACAACATACATATAACATACATACAACATACATACAACTTACTTACATACAACATACATACAACTTACATACATACAACATATATACAACTTACATACATACAACATACATACAACGTACATACATAAAACATACATACACACAACATACATACACACACAACATACGCATACATACAACATACATACACACACACACGCATGCACACGTAACGAACAGTCCATCGGCCTACTCACTTGCCAGGCGGATATTATGCGGCAACATTTGTTTCGGCAAGCACATTTTGGGGACGAGTTTCGACCCTTCTTGGGTCTCATCAGCAGGTTTGTTGAACATATGCCGCCGGGCTACCAGTCGGTGGCAGCAAGGGGGGCTGAATCTAAACTACGGGGCTCTTGCCGGTTTAAATCACTGTCGTCGGTCATGGGCAATGCCACTGCTGGATGAAGGCTTCTCCCAAGCTGTTGCCATCTCTCACGGCCCTGCACCTTTAATTGACAAAGTGGAACATTCACACTCGCGATGGGTTGTTCTGTTGTTGTTGTTGTTGTGTGCGTTTGTGTGCTATTGGCAATGAGGCAGTTTAGTTCAGCTGTGATTTTTTTTTAAACAGCCACGACTCTCAACAAAGAGTCAATACCGGACACTGGGAGTGGTATTGGTGGCGGTCGGGCCCTGGTGCTGGCCACCCCATCCCCTCGTGTGCCGTGCCGGCCTTCATAGGTGCTACTCGCCAATGGCACTTGCTCCAAAAGTCTGTGAAGGCTACACGGAGATCTTTGTCTTTGGCGGTGGTCAGGAACGGCGAGATCGGAGAAGCGGTGGCGCTTGCCCATTGGAGGCCCAAAGCAGCACCTTTTTTGGGGGAACTCCCCATTTTTTTAAATCTCTGATTGAGATGACAGTAGATATATAAATAAACAAAGACACCCTCGGTAGCGAGGTAAGAAATGTAGATTAAATATATAGAGGTGTAATGAGACGAGAGATATTAATTCGCTTTTTAATAATAATTGGATTTATGCGCATTAGGATTTGAATTCGAGCCGGTATCTCATTTACCATTTTTTTCATTGATTCTGGACTCCTCGAGCTACTTGGGAAGATTAGGATCTGTGCTTTACTTAGCGCTATGCCTAGCGCTGCCACTGGTCAAGGGATTGTGGGCCTCTCTCGATTTCACACGCATTTCAAAAGTCTTCTCTTTGCTCACTCGATGAGCCCCCCCTCTCCCCACTTTTTCCATTTCCCCAGTCTCCCCACTGCTACTGCAACTCCCCCCCCCCCCGTCTCCCCCTCCCGTCTTCCCTCCCTTGCCCCCCCCGTCACCCCCCCCCCCCACCGTATCTCCCCCCGCCCCCCATCATATATTTCGGTACAATTACCGGAGCAGATGGCGACTCAGCGGGGTGAGAGATGTCGGCGGCTGTGGGGGTGGAGGAGGAGTAGGGAGTGAGAGGTATCTCGTGGCGAGCCGTGTGATCGACTTCCACGCGCACAATTACAGTGAGGGAACAAAGTATTTGATCCCCTGCTGATTTTGTACGTTTGCCCACTGACAAAGAAATGATCAGTCTATAATTTTAATGGTAGGTTTATGTGAACAGTGAGAGACAGAATAACAACAACAAAATCCAGAAAAATGCATGTCAAAAATGTTATAAATTGATTTGCATTTTAATGAGGGAAATAAGTATTTGACCTCCTCTCAATCAGATAGATTTCTGGCTCCCAGGTGTCTTTTATACAGGTAACGAGCTGAGATTAGGAGCACACTCTTAAAGGGAGTGCGCCTAATCTCAGCTTGTTACCTGTATAAAAGACACCTGTCCACAGAAGCAATCAATCAATCAGATTCCAAACTCTCCACCATGGCCAAGACCAAAGAGCTCTCCAAGGATGTCAGGGACAAGATTGTAGACCTACACAAGGCTGGAATGGGCTACAAGACCATTGCCAAGCAGCTTGGTGAGAAGGTGACAACAGTTGGTGCGATTATTCGCAAATGGAAGAAACACAAAAGAACTGTCAATCTCCCTCGGCCTGGGACTCCATGCAAGATCTCACCTAGTGGAGTTGCAATGATCATGAGAACGGTGAGGAATCAGCCCAGAACTACACGGGAGGATCTTGTCAATGATCTCAAGGCAGCTGGGACCATAGTCACCAAAAAAACAATTGGTTACACACTAGGCCGTGAAGGACTGAAATCCTGCAGCGCCCACAAGGTCCCCCTGCTCAAGAAAGCACATACACATGCCCGTCTGAAGTTTGCCTATGAACATCTGAATGATTCAGAGGACAACTGGGTGAAAGTGTTGTGGTCAGATGAGACCAAAATGGAGCTCTTTGGCATCAACTCAACTCGCCGTGTTTGGAGAAGGAGGAATGCTGCCTATGACCCCAAGAACACCATCCCCACCGTCAAATATGGAGGTGGAAACATTATGCTTTGGAGGTGTTTTTTTCTGCTAAGGGGACAAGACAACTTCACCGCATCAAAGGGATGATGGACGAGGCCATGTACCGTCAAATCTTGGGTGAGAACCTCCTTCCCTCAGCCAGGGCATTGAAAATGGGTCGTTGATGGGTATTCCAGCATGAAAATGACCCAAAACACACGGCCAAGGCAACAAAGGAGTGGCTCAAGAAGAAGCACATTAAGGTTCCGGAGTGGCCTAGCCAGTCTCCAGACCTTGATCCCATAGAAAATCTTTGGAGGGAGCTGAAGGTTCGAGTTGCCAAACGTCAGCCTCGAAATCTTAATGACTTGGAGAAGATATGCAAAGAGGAGTGGGACAAAATCTCTCCTGAGATGTGTGCAAACCTGGTGGCCAACTACAAGAAACGTCTGACCTCTGTCATTGCCAACAAGGGTTTTGCCACCAAGTACTAAGTCAGGTTTTGCAGAGGGGTCAAGCAATTATTTCCCTCATTAAAATCCAAATCAATTTATAACATTTTTGACATGCGTTTTTCTGGATTTTTTTTGTTGTTATTCTCTCTCACTGTTCAAACAAACCTACCATTAAAATTATAGACTGATCATTTCTTTGTCAGTGGGCAAACGTACAAAATCAGCAGGGGATCAAATACTTTTTTTCCCTCACTGTAGGCACCGTGAGTCGAAGCCACCTTTGGCGGGGATTTTTTTGTTTGCGATCGCCTTCGGGCGCTCGGGCGAGGAGGGGGATTTCGTCTCTCCGGTACGCATCTTCCGCTCGGCGAATGGCTCCGGCACGTGGGCGCTGGGCTGATTTGAACCGCGGCGCGGCGTGCGGCCCTCTCGTCGTGAGTCTCCTCCTTGGGCACGGCGGCGATGCTGTTCAGTGGCCTAAAATCAAATGTTTCGCTACGGATGACCGCTGCAAGGTATGATCTTGTGTTTTGATTTAGTGTGCTGATCTTTAAAGGTACATTGAAAAATGTTGATACTCCTACTGATGCTCCTGCTGTTGTGGAGTGACTCGTGCAGGCAGCGATGGCTGCAGGGTTTGGTGGTACAAAAACAGGGCTAACACTGTTTTTAACATTTGATCTACATAACGACACGTTGCTGATATTAACTATGTTTCCCTATTTGTATTTTTAAATTATATCTTAAAGCTATTTTATATTAGATATTTATTTAATTTTATATACTTCAGCCCCTTAGTGTTAGACTTTTAACCCTTATTATAGTAAGACTTGTTTAAAATTTATTTAAGATTTTAGATTCCTATATGTTGAATGTATGCACCATCCTGCCAAAGTAAATTCCGTGTCGGTGTGAACTTACATGGCGAATAAAACCCTTTCTGATTCTGATTCTGATGTTGTTTACGTCGTTTATTGTGAAATTTCGGTCACAGTTCCTATGATCACTGTTACATTGCTTTTATGGCTTTATTTTGGTGATTTCGAAAACTTTTTTGGTTTGGCCATATTTTTGTTTGTTGTAGTACGGAGTTAGACTGATGGCTTTAATCTAAGTTGTCTTGTGGTTCATATTCTTAGCTCTTTCGGATAAGTCACGTTGAAGGGAAACAATAAAATAATAAAAAATATATAAAAACAATAAAAATTCTCACCACGTTTCGACCATAATGCATCCCACTGGGATTTTTGCACACAGCGTTGGTGTAACGGTGCTTTTTCTGGAAGATTTTTCTGTTTTTTTGCTGGATTTTTCTGTTTGCGCAGTCACCTCGTCACTTTAAGACGTTTTCTTGTTCATGTTTTTTTGTTTGTTGCGGTTGCACCCGATTCAAGAGCCGAGTGGCTCACAGGGCTATAGCTAATAAATGAAAACTGAAAAAAACTGTCGGCTTTTGCGACCAACAGAGGGGTTTTTGGGGGGGGGGTGGGGGGGTTTAATCGCGTAAATATTAAACGTGTCGTTAAAACCGCCACCACTCGGCACAGCCAATTAGTAAGGTTTGTCACGTAGACAAAAAATAATAATTCGCTGAGATTCGGAACCTCTAACTTCCTTGGACGACCTCCAAACACGTGGCCGATGCATGTTTCGAGACACGTGGTTTCATTTCCCGTGGCTGGTCTTGCCCCCCCCCTCCCCTTCTTCGTGACAATTGTCAGCGTGTTTTTGCAGTAAAATAATAGTAATTGACGAGTAATTTGCGGAATGACTCATCGATTGCTGTTAATTGGCGTTCTCTGGTCTAACGCTGGCGAGACAAGGTCGCAAAGAAGGCTGTCTGGTGTAGGCCAATCAGTTTCAAAGACGATGGCATATTTGTCCGAGCACGTTCGTGTGAGTGTTTTTTCGTGTGGTTAATGCAGAATGTGTGCCTTGCAAAAGGAATATATTTGGTGTTTGGACATCTTAACACCAAATTTTTTTAATTGCCAGAAAGGCGAAAACCTATTCTTATTTTTCATCATTTTGGATACTGGCAAAAAAAGTTTGTTTTTTGTCAATCCACTGCTGGACGATGCCCACCACTCCCCCAATGCACAATGCTGTGTCGGTCATGGGGGGGTTTGTTTGACCATACTTCACCATACTGGTCAGTGCGGATTGGCGAAAGCGGAGGAGCAGGGCCGGTTCAGATTTCATTCACTCCCCAGTGGTAGCCATTGCCAGGAAGACACCAGGAAGGTTTACGGGTTCAGGGCCCTGGCCCACAGCTCAGCACGTCAAGTACGAAGATTCCCCGTGTAGCCTTAACAGACTGTTGGGGCAAGTGCAGTTAGCGAGCACCTATGAAGGCCGGCACGGCACACGAGGGGGTGGACAGCAACACACCCACGCCGCCTTTGTCTCCCTAGTGGCGATGTTAACGCACCGTACCAGGTACCCATTTGAGGCTGAGTCGACCTAGGGGAGGCCCAGGACCGGTTCGGATAATCGTCAATGGTATTCTTTGCGTCGTCGGGTTCGTAGTGCAGTTTGCAATTCGCTGTACCACCGCTCAGCACATCGCCCCCGCTGTCGTCACACATTGACGAGCACAAACACAACGGCCGCCATCGTAATGTGGAATTCACACCGCTGGGTTACGGAAGCGAGCGCCGCTCACGCGGCTTGCTGGAGCGGGCAGCGTAGCGGGCGTCCTTCTGCACCGACTTCGCAAGCGGAACGCGATGCGATGGTTTATACACGCTCGCGAGGTTAATAGTGCACGGGTAAAAAGAAGAGAGAGAGAAAAAAATCCCCTACGTTTAAGCGGAATTGTCCCGACGGCCACGACCTCTCAGGTGAAGCGCGCGGGATGGGGATTTGGTGGCAGTCAGCGCACGTTACGCAACTCGCCATTCCGAGGTTTATATTTCTTCCAGTCTCCCGATCCACAATTACTCATCACCCCCACTTCGTCTCGCTAACCTCTCTCTCCCGCTCGCTCTCATTCCCACGGTTCCCCGGGTGAAAGTGATCTTGATAAAACCCGGCTTCGTAATCACGGAAGGACACCGCCAAATAATTTTTGAAGAGAGAGGGAGGAGGAGGACACCATTGTAGAGAAAGAGGCAGCAGGAATGTATGGAGGAAAACAAATGGATATCTAGCCTTCGATTACATATGGTTCAGAAACACGGCCACTCATGAGAAATAGCTAAACAAAAGCTGTGATGAGTGCCCAAAAATGCACGGAGAAATGCATGCGTGTCATAATCACATTGAGAAACAAAATGGTCACAGGTGCGGTTCTTTTGAGGTGGTGGTCTGCAAAATGCTAACAGTTTTTTTTTTCTTACTACACGAATTGGATATCTTTGGGCGTTGTTAAATATCGTTGTTTTCCCGTCTCCACGAACCTTTCTGTTGTGATGGATTTTCTCATCATTTACTCATTTGAATTCTGAATTTTTGTGCCGGGGTTAAAATTCAAACATGCCCCTCCCCTACTCTTTTCCCGCTACGCGAACGAAAATCTGGGGGAGCCGTCACCCGCCCGCCCTCCCTCCCACCCATGCCACTCACCCACCACCGACCCATGCCACCCACCCGCCCACCCACCAACCACAACCCACCCACCACCCACCCATGCCACCCACCCACCGTGCGCCACTCCATCTCTCTCCCTGCCTCGCCGCACGATCTCCAGGAGGATGCGCGCGTAGCAGAAGACCATGATGAGCAGGGGCAGCAGGAAGAGGCAGGCGAAGGTGAACATAAAGTAAAGGCTTCCCTGCCAGCGTTGCGGGAAGCTGCCGTGCGTCGCGCACTGCGTGAACTGCGGGCCCGGCTGGGACGTCTGCACAACGCGGAACAGGACCAGCTGCGTCGTGGAAGAGGATTGGGGGAAGGGGGGGGGGCGCAAGAGAAAGGTAAAGAAGGGAAAAGAGAGAGAGAAAAGAGGATCGTGAGTAATAGCCCCTCTTTTTCTACTGCCATATCCGAGCAGAGCCAACGCTGGACTCGTTCACTCGGGGGGAGGGTCGTTTTCTGCTGGCGCTACTCCTGACGCAAACATCTGGCTCATGAACCGCCGAAGTGTCCAATTGGAAGTCATTGCTCTGCATCAACGTCAGCCATATGAAGAAGATGAAGAATGTACGTAGCTGAGCAGAGACCATCGACTCACGATGTCGGACTTCTTTCATAACCGTTCGTAGCCCATCGTGCTAATCGGAGGTGCGGGGAAGGACGACACAAATGACGCGCTTTAGGTGGAACATTCGTGCCAGATATACAAACATAGACACAACTTCAACCGAGATGATGGGTACAATCTGAGCAATCATTGGAAGGACGTTGTTCACCAGGTAAAGTCTTAACTGATTGTGATGTTCTCATCCTACCTGCCTGTGTCAGCTGTTATTTCATGCTAATCTCTCACATTAACATAGCCACTTCCGTACCCAGTTACATGCTAATTTCTTATATTATTATCACTAGACCCAGCCACTTCTTTATGAGCCTTGGGCTACACCCATTTCAAACCTTTTTAAAACAATCTGCATCAGCAGCAGACGATGCTTACCCACCTGATGATGGAAACTTGTGTTGCGCTCGAAACGTCGTGATTTATTTTATTTCATACCTACGTGACTTTACCGAAAGAACCAAAGAGTATGTAACCCGTTTGTCTCATAGGCTGGTGTGCTTTCAATTGAGAATGAGCCACTTTAAACGAAAATAATCCACTTGCGTCCCTTACTGCATAATGATAACGATAATGAGTTTTAGGAGCTTTAAAGTTATATAAATGAACCCCCCCCCCCCCCACAAGTAATAAGAATTAAGAACGTACCATTTCGGCTTCGTTTCGCTTAATTGACACTCCGCGCCAATTGCCTAAAGTGCTCGGTAGGCACCTGCATCTCGTTAAATCCTCAGGCTCAGCAAAGGGGTGAGCCTGGACGGCGCTTGGGTTGGGCAAGGCCACCACCGCACGTCAGTTTGCTGTAGGCTCGTGAGCGGCTAAGGTACCAGCAGAGGGCAGAGTCACCAAAAAAAAAACAGACAAAATGCCACGGCTTGAACAAATCTGTCCAAATGCTGACCTAACAACGAACGATTTTTCCACCTCCAGCAAAAACCAGACGCGCGCCACGGTGCGGGTGAAGTATGGTCAATTGGCCCCGCTTGGCGTGCGGACAACCCTAACCCAAGGAAGAGTGTGATTGAGAAACGAGTGCTGTGCACGGCAGTCGCGCAGTCAACGACCGGCGGAATGAACCAATTATTGGGCCATCTTGCCCGGGACATACGCACGCAATCTCAAGTTAATTTCCCTCTGCGATTTAACAACAACCGCCGCCAACAGCAGCAGCAGCTCCACTCAAACGCAATTTCGATTAGGAACCAGCCGCAACAGATATACGCCAACTTAGTAATTCTATCGCGAGGGTAAAGTGTTATATAGCTCGCACGCGTACGATCGTGTTATCACGGGCTTGAAATGGTCATCGTGGAATTCAATGTGCCTGGAAATGGGAATAGCTGTAACCAGGCTGGGGGTGGGGGGCAAAGAGGGTGGGGGTGGGAGGGGGGGGGGGGTTATAGCCAGACGAGCAAAGATGCCACGGTATTAAAGCCGGGAGCCCAAGAGGCGTATCAATCTCCACCGACACCCGGCAGAATTTATTCCAAATAAATTACTCAGCAGCCCCCCCCCCAACCCCTTCCACCACACGCCACCTCACAGCCCTCCTACTCAACATCCCTGCGTGCCGGAGCGCTAAATCCATTGTCTCTCACCGCCACGGCCCAGGATTACTGCTCATGACTCCCAAAGGTGTTTGGAATTGCCCTCCCCCCGCGCGCTCGCGCGCCCTCCCTCTGCGTGTACATTCGGCGGAATGCGAGCACCTTCATCTCGGTCAGTCCCACTCTTAATTTCGTCACCGAAATGAGTTTTTGGCTAATAAAGTATTAAAGCTTTCGTGACTGCATAAAAATACTCATTGTTTTTTTTCGGTAAAGTCACGTATGTAGAAATACAATAAAATTATATTAAAACAAAAAACAATCATGCCGTTTCGATCACAACGCAAGCGATCTTCATCAGTTATGTGCAATCCAAAGGTTGAACACGAAATTTAACACTCTTCTGAAATTCGTGGTCCGCCAGGAAGTGTCTAACTGTGTTGTTGGCCTGACTGGATGTGCTTCACATAATGTTTTTTTCAGGTTTGTTGAATTCTCGTCTCTCATCTTTTTGTGAGTTTTTGGCTGTCGTCCGCCGATTGTTGTCCCCGACTGGCGCGCCTTCGCCTCTTGTCGTTGTACTCACACGACGTTTTCTCACAATAGAGGGGTTTTTTATTTTGGGTTAGATCGCGTAAATATATAAATGTTGTGTCGTTAATACCCGCCACCACCCGACACAGCCAACTAGTAAGGGTTGTCACGTCGGTGTGTTGGAGAGCCCAGCCACAACATTTGCAATCTGAGTACGACGTTTCGCCAGGAATAACAACCAGCTTCATCAGGCGACAGCCGGATTAGTGGAGAAGTCCACCTGATTCGTTATTTACATAGATGGATGGTATTGGTCGCTAAAGCCTGCTACGTGTTAAACCAACGTTTACTCAATCCGCTGTCTGTACCTGACGAGGAGCACACCACGCCGTGCCAGGAAGCGGGAGGGTGTGGGGAGTATTCATGCACGGTGAGCGGTGGCGCTGCAGTTAGCGCGGCCGCGCTACGAACCCGGCGACCCGAGTTCGAATCACGCTCTCACGGCCAACACGAGTGACGAATATCTGAATCGGTCCCGCGCCTCCCCGAGGTAGACTCAGCCCCAAATGAGTAACCTGGTGCGGTGTGTCAAACATCGTCACTGGGGAGACAAAGGCGGCCGGACGTGGTGCTGGCCACCCACCCCCCACGTGTGCCGTGTCGTCCTTCATAGGTGCTCGCTAACAGCACTTGCCCCAACAGTCTCTTAAAGACTATACGGGGGATCTTTGTCTTTGTATTAGTCCATACTTCACCATAAACTGTTGGTCAGTGCCTGTTGGTGAAAGCAAGGAGCATAAACTTGGGAGCATTGAAGTGCAGTGCAGTATCCATCCCTGAAGCCCGTAACAACTGTTATGCATTGTGGCACGATCCAGTCTCAGGCCCTGCTTAGCTTTTGAGCTCTGATGATTCGATCGGCGCAGAATCAAGTGACAGCTCCAAGCCTGATATGACGATAAGTTTTTGTTGTTGTTGTTGTTGTGTGTGTGTGCAGTCAATGGTGGCCTGGCTGAGACTCATCAACTCTCGACCACTTCGTTGAGATCTCAGATTCATTATTGGGGGGGAGGGGGGGTGGGGGGCGTTTGAATTTTGCATCGGGACCCAGCACGTCGGCAGTGCTGGCTCAGTGCTTGCTTACGTTTATTGCATCACCACTCCCCCTTCGCTGGCCAGTGGGGGGTGGCACGTGCCCCCCCCCCCCAATGATCCGATCGAAATCCCTAATTTCAATCGGATCATTGAGGTTTATTTGTAATAAATCGTCATTTTGCGACCCCCACTGCCACTGTGTAGCATATTATTGTGTGGCAGGGACTCTGTGAGATGATAGGACAATAGTCTGAGTCCATAATTGGCAATAAGTAACGGCAAAGCGGTTATACGTGACTCAGAATTGTGCGCAGTTGCGTTTTCAGTACACGACTTCCCTGAGGGCATCAACACCTTCAGCGAGCGCGATGCCGATCACACAACGCGGTTCGAATTCCACCCTAGATCGATGGCTGCGCCATCGCCGCACACGTGTCGAATAAAAAGCAAGCTACAAGTCCTTACTTACGAACAACTCCTATCATTTGCTGGAGGGGTTGTCCCCCCGCCCCCCCCCCACCTAAAAATCCTGGCTCCGCCATTGCCCCGCTCTCTGTTCGCGAGCCCTCGGCAAGCTGACAAGCCAGGTCATTAAAGGAGCCTCCTTGCGCTGCGCGTTTAGGAGATTTTTTGTTTTTGTTTTCGTTCGCACGCGCGAATTGAGCGCAGCAGCGATTCGCGAACGCGCGCGCACACGGGAGTCCCGTGCCTTGGGCGCGTTCTTACAAAGGCAAAGTTCCCCCGGGTAGCCTGCAAGGGGACCGTTGGGGAAAGTGCGACTGTTAGCGAGCAACTATTATTTATTTATTTGGAAAGAATGTTCGGTGCACGAGTGGGCAGCGCGGACGGCTAACACCACGTCCAGCCGCCTCCGTGCCGGTGTTTATACGCCGCACCAGACGCTCAGGGCAGGTGCAGACGTCAGTCACCACTGATGGTAGCTCGGTGTGGCGAGGGGTGGAATCCACGTGGCCAAGTTGGAAGGGCAAGTGAGTCGATAAAAGTCCCTGGCTCAGGGCCTTCAATGCGTTGTCCTAATCTAGGCGCGTGCCTTCCGATCTTTAAAATAAAACACTGGTCCCGCTGTTTTCTGCCCGGCGTCTCGAGATGCGGTGTCGCATTTAGATTCCACTACGTGAACCCGACCTACACACATGGAGTGTTAGTGATGCGCTCCGCACATCGAATCGCGCTCGTGTGCAACGTAACGTTGAACGTGTCTTAGATAATAATTAAATAGTTATTAAATAATCATTAAAAGAGTATTAAATGATAAGTAAAAAGTAATACAAAATTGCCGAAAATAATGTAATAATTATCAATCAATTATTAAATGATCGCTAAGTCGTAATTTAATAATCGTTAAATATATTTTTTCAGAATAAATCAATAAGTCATTATTTAACTATTAAAACGTGAATTGCTTTAACGTCTGCAATCGTCCATCTTTGTCCAAGCAAACACTCTCCCCCTTCGCTGGGCTCGGCATTGATATGT